AGACAATACTCAACCACTAGGAGAGGAAACTGGGGGGATAAGTGTTCCAGCCTCTTGTCCTTTAGGTGGACCATTCTGGCAGGTACTCTGTCTGCTTCTCAAGATGTCCCTGCAGAATCTGTATGAGAAGCTCACATACTCGTCCTTATACGGCTCCCCCACTTTCCCTTTCTAATCCTTTCCAATCTTTTGTGTCTTATTTCTGCAATCACCCCCCCAAATAAACTACCTGCATCCATGTTCTTGTTTTAGGTTTTGCCTTTTAGGGGACCTAAATGAAGACAGGATCACCTACCCCTGCCCCTTTATTCTTTGGCCAAAACATTTTTTTTTCTTCCTTTTCTTATCATTTCTTCTTTTTCCCTGATAAAAGCTTAGAAAGTATCTGTGATGGCATGAGGATGACAGTCCTGCTATTTTCCAAATTTCACATTCATGCCATAGCATTCTTAATAGATACAATGTATTCATTATGCTGTTATCACCTGACTCTAAAGAAAGCTCCAAGTTTTTGCAGCCATCATATCTTTAATAGAAAGTTAGAACTGGAAAGTTCATGTACATAGTTCCAGCTTCCTATCAAAAATAATAGATGAGACACAACAGTAAGTCAAGAGAACAGGTAAGGTAGAAAAGTGCTGAATTTTACAGTCCCAAACGTTGGATTTCAAGACAGTGAGGGCAGTTGTAAGGGGGCAGAACCTCATATTGTCACAAGAGGGCAGCAGAGGCAAGGGAACATGTGGAGAAGCAAAGACCAAATAATGCAACCTGCCAGAGATCTGATAAGAGGCAAGACTAACATTTTCAGGGACCTGTTACAAGTTGGGCATTGTGCTGGCACAGTAAGAAATTGCACAAAGTTCAAAGGCAGAGATAGGAGGCCAGAGCCAATGAAGAAGTGAAACAAAGTCAGTTAAAGAGAGCAGTTCTTCAGGTCAACTAGGAAATGCCCAAAGACAGCATGTCTGGAAGTATAACACCAGAAATAAATATAATGGCTATGGGCCTGTCCTCTGCCAGTACAGCTGGATTGCTGCTAGAAAATCAGGTAAGATAAATTGCTAGGATCAACCTGCATATTTACTTTACATTGACCAGAATTTAAATGGCCTTTGCCTGAGCAAGCATCAAACTTTCCTGATGATTGTTGCATCTTCTCCCACTATANGATGAAATTGCCTAATGATGCATTTCTCAGCCCATATCTGTCCTTCAATGGCAGTTAATTCTTCCTCCTGGGTAATTTACATATTAACTGAAGGTCCTGGAAACACAAAGGCTGGAAGGAATTAGCTTCTGGATTTCCAGGTATCACATCAAAGAGAGAATGCGCAAAGAAGACTTAGTATCATTCTCCTCCTGCCCCAGACACTCTCTCCCCCTCTGGTTTGCCCAGATTTCACCAGCCTCTACCATCTCTGGGCCCTGGGAAGTTAGGAGGTCTGAATCACATGAATAAACACCTGCTCAAACCTCTTCATCCTTCCTGCTCCTTTGGTAAATCAGAATGAGACAAAAATGCGCCCAATTACACCCCCCCCTCCACACACACACACACAAATAAACCTTACCACTTAGTCCTTGGAAGGTCCTCCAGTCTTCCTCTGCATCCTGCTGATCTTCTTCTTGCCAGCAAGCTGTTGCGTTGATGCTTAAAAGACGCACATACTGATGCGTTTGAAGCTGAAGCGAAAGCTGCTCCCAGATATCTTTCAGACTCTTGTTTATGTCATCAAAGAGCCTTTTGTTCTTCTCTACTGTTAAAAACTTAAGGATATTGGATTTATTGCTATACTTATCTATCTGCTTCTTAGCTTCTCCTAGGGCAGCCTGGAAACGGTACACGGTATTGGTGATCTCAGTGGGCAGGTTTTTTTCTCCTAGGTCCTGAAGCTTTTCCAGACACTCCAGCAGGTGGTGAACACGGTCCCTGAGACGCTCACACTGTTTCCGGCAGTATTTCATCTCTTCACATTGTCTGTAGATATGCCAGCCAAAGGAGATGATGTCCCTCAAGTTATCCATACCTGGAAGAAACTGATGGAATTTGTTAAAAGTCCCAGGATCTCCTGCATATTTACTACTGGACTAAGGGAACCTCAAGGGTGTCTGTGATTTAAATGGCTGAAGAGGTCTCCCCACTATTTTCATGTAAGGTAGAGATGGCTTGCTGTCTGCCAAAATCTGTTCTGTCTGTCCACAATGACAGAGCTGTGGCTGGGAAGGGTTGGTCTGGCTAGGACTGGATCTCTCAGCCTTCCTTGGGGCTTGATGTGGCCATGTGATTAGTTCTTGCCAATGGGCTGTGAGGAGATATGACATGTGCTACTTTGGACTGAGACAGGTTTGTCTCCTTTACACATTATCAGCTGGATGCATGGGATGGTGCAGCCCTAGGGGTGGTGGAGTCCCAAGAAGGAAGAATCCTGGATCCCCAAATCATCGCTTAGAGGAAGGCTACTCACAGACCTGGAACATCTGCCATGGGCTGTTAGGTGAATGAGGAATAAACTTCGATTGCATTTGAGCCATTATATTTTGGGGCCTATTTGTTAGTTCTAACACATATATCTTGCCAAAGTCTAGGGGTGACTATTGGATGCTGGGTTGGAAAGCTCAGGCCCTGTCTAAAGAAGGCCAGGGCTACCCAGCAAGGCACTGACTATTGCTCTTCAAGGATAAAAAGTTCCATGGTGGAAGACCTTCCAGTTTTTAAAGAATAGTCAGAAATCTGGATTTTTATGTTAAATCTCTCGATTTAAAAATCTTGCAACCATGTCAAAAAATGTTTGAAAAACTGTGCAGTGCAACACTGTGTTGGCCAAATAAAACATGTCTGCCAACTGGATATTGCTTATGAAGTCCCAATTTTAACCTCGGCAACAGCTGGCCAAGGATATTCAGTATAATAATAGAAGTTGGCTTCTGTCAGTTTCAAAATTTCCTGTCTCTTTTCCCAATGTTTGAGCATCCCTGCCTCCCTAGTCCTCAACCCAGTCCTCTCTGTTGTGTTTTTAGCAAGCTGTAAATTTTTTCTACCCTCCTCCATTGGCCTATGCATCAATAAAACTTCGTGTTATAAGTGCTGACCCCCTCAGAGGCATTTGTCAGGCCTCAGGAATTGTGGTGGACATTTGTGTTGCCTTTGAAGCATCCATTTCTCTACTTCCTATTACTGCCCAGATTTTTAGTGGCTATCTGCTTCTCCCTCTTCAGCAACGTGTTTGTGGGGAGCTGGCCCCATCCGTGGTTCTAGGGGTGAAACTTGATATGTCTAAGTCAATTTTCAATCAAAGGTGATTTTGCCCTTCAGGGACTTCCTGCAATGTCTGAAGACATTTTTGGTTGCCACAACTGGGGTACGGGAGCTGGTGGGTAGATGTCAGGGTGCTACAGTGTATAGGACAGCCCTTCCACAACAAAGAATTAGCCAGCCCAAAATGTTAATAGTGCAGGAGTTGAGAAACCTTGATCTAAGCCATCAAAACTGGGCACCTGGGGGCCGGCCGAGTGGCGCAATGGTTAAGAACTGGTTTGGGATGCCAGAGGGCCCCGGTTCGGATCCCACATATGAGGGCCAGTGACACTGTCCTCCACAGCTAAGATGCTGAACAACAGNCAGGGAAGAGCTAGTCCCTGAGGGCTGTTTCGCCACCAAGTGGACTTGACCCTCCTGTGGGTCAGGAGGTCAGTGTCAGTCTTCAGGGTCTCCCCAGCACCCTCCGCCAAGCCCGAGGGCCAGACAAAGCCCATCCTGCCTGGCCAAGCAAACCGTCTTTGAAGGATCTGGATGGGGGCGGGGATGGGATAGGGGCCACGGTGGGGTGGGAGTTGTCACTGCATCTTCAGGTGAGGTTCTTCTGGCATAAGGGTATGGAACAAGTAATCCCAAAATTTACTGCTGATGCCAAATCCTAGAGAGGGAGATGAATGGGGAGAAGGTGAGGCACTGTCAAAGGAGGGGGAGAAATCTGCTTAGGAAGGGAGTCAGAAAAGGAGACAGCACTCGGGCAGTTTGTAACATCTGTCCCCGCTGGCCTTCCCACCTCGCAGGGCCATCCTGACAGAAGTCAAGAGCAGAGTACCTGTGTTCCTGGTCTCCTCAAAATGCCATTGGAATAAACCCGGAGTCCTTACGTGGCCTGACCTCCTGGGAAAGCTGGCTCCTGCCTGCCTCTTCCTCCCGCTCTTTCATACTTCAGCCTCTTCCTTCTCAGTGAAGTCGCCATGTTCATTCCTGCTTCAAGGCTTTACACCTATCGCTCCCGAGAGGCTCTGTTCCCAGATGTCAGATGCTGGCTTCTCTTAATTTAGGTCTCAGGTCTGATGACATCTCTGCAGTGACATCTTCCTGGACCACTTTATCTAGCACTCTGCCACCCAACACTGTAGCCACTAGCCCACGTGACTGCTGAGCACTGGAAATGTGGCTAGAGCTACAGAGGGACTAAATCCCTAATTTCATTTAATTTTAATTTACCTAAATTTCAACGTAGAAACTTACACTCGATTCAATTACTGGAAAGCTTTTAAACACATTTGGAACAATTCAGGTATGTGAATCTACATTTTTTTTTACTGTA